CCCCAAAACCCCAAAACCCCAAAACCCCTTTTCTATTAAATTTTATTGAAAAATGACAGAAATGTCTAAAGTGGATTATTTCTTGAAGACACTTAACACAGAAGCGAAACATAAGAGGAATAAGAGCGATGGAGTCAAGTTCGTACTCTCTGGATTAGACTTTTGTGATAAATATGTTGGCAAGTCTAGGAAATAAAATGGCTAAAAGAATCAATAGGAAAACCTTTATGCTTCAAACTAGAATAAAGCTTAAATAAGTAAGTTTTTACAATAAAAATATAGTGGGCTATTTTCAAAGGTAAAGAACCAAGAAGGAAGTCCAGATAATTTAAATAAAACAATCCCTGGAATAATTTCACAAAGAATGGATACACCACTCCGAGAAAATAAGCAAAACAACCCTAGCGACATATTTCACAATAAAAGCTTGCAGATAGTTTCAAAAAGCCGCCCAGCATCTATCCAGCTTGCTAAAAGGCTTCATAGGTAAACAAGAGAATTTAAGCTAAACTTCCCAATATCATAAACATCACATCAGAAATTATGAGCATTTAAACATCTAGTGACAGTTTCATTACCTTACCTAATATATCCCAAATATTGCACCTGCTTTTAACCATTCCACACCCATAATCTCCATACAACACCCCTAAAATCTCCTAAATTTCAAACCTAACACACCTCACCATCAACCCCCCTTATTCTACTGCTTAAATCCCAAAATCCACCCACTAAAAATTCCCAAGAATCCCTATTTTCCCTTAAACCCCCTAATTCCCTCAATTCTAGCTCACTCTCAAAACCCCAGTCAAGCCCGAGCTCCTTCCTTCGCACAAGTTTCACTCAAAAGCCGGTGACCAAGCTGTTCACAAATTCTCACTGCCAAAATTCAAGACCTGGAGGGAAGATTTATAGAAGAAAAGCTAATGGTTTGAGAAGAAGAACAGGTGGGAAAGTAAGTAGTGGGGAGAGGAAGGAAATGGGGGGTTTTAGGATATTTTTTTGATTTTTTGGTTTAGGCTGGATTTCGTATCAGGGTGAGCCCTGGGAGGAATTTTGATGATTTTGAAGTATCTGGAATGAAAATTGGAGGGGATAGGTATGTCGAAGAGAGGGATTATGGGAGGAAGAAAGTGAATCGAGGTGAAAATGGTGATATGATTTTGGGTGCAATTGAAAATCAAGTGAGAAAGCAATTAGATAGGAAAAATAGAAGTATTGTTATAGAAAAGTAAGTTGTTCATATTTTATAGGGATAGAAAATACAAAAAGCTTTCACAAACCATACCTAAAGATAAAATCCATCTTCTTCCATTTGAACTCTCCCACAATGATAATTTTTCTGAAGAAAAGAAGGTCATCCCCATTCGTTCCAAGAAAATAACCGGATTCTTCGGCTCCCAGAGATTTTTCCAAGCTGCAAAGTACGTTTCTCTCTCTAACCCTAGAAATGGCTATCACATTAAAGTCTCAGACAACAATTATAACAGCCTAAAGAATGCGATTCAGGATTCCCAGATTCTCAAAACTCTTCAGAACAGGCAGCTAAATCCTGAGACCATATTCTTTGACTAGTTTCAATAAAGTCAGTCCTTCTGGGGTTTTGGGGTTTTGGGGTTTTGGGG